TAATGGTCCATTCTACTATCTTCAAGATATTACCATTACCTAGTATTTTGTGTGTTGTTTTTATGGATGTTTTATTTTAGAATAGTTTCAGATGTACAGAAATGTTGTGAAGATAATACCCATTTACCCCATACCCAATTTCCCTTATTACTAATGTCTTACTTTGGTATGGTGCAACTGGAACATGAAGTGAACCATCAGTGAAACTGTTAGAGTGAAATGTCAGTTCTCTAGTATCTCCAATATCCAAAAACGTGTTTGTAGACCAAGTTGTTCAAGGAGAAACTCTACCAGTTTTGGAATAATACCTCAGTTCCTGAGCTGACAATCCTTTCAAAAGTTTCACAACATTAAATAGTCTACAATGTTAAATGGAAATCAGATTCATTATTATAAACTGCCAACACTAACAGAACACCCTTTTCCTCATCACTGCTACCACCACCATCCACATCCCCCCCCCAACAAATCCAAACACAAGCATAAATATCAGCTTCTTGTCTTCCTTGCCTGTATGATAAAGTATTAAGGAAAAAATTCCTCTTCAGTCTTTAACTTGTCCTTATTCTGAGTATCTGGCTTATTATGGATAGGCTTGTCAGGTTCCCCAGCTGCAGAATTCTACATTCCTTTCTTCTCTCACGCCTGCCCCCTCCTATGCTCCCTCCCCATCATATGATGACACGCACAAATACAAACATATTTCCTTTATACCATCACTGGTATTTTTCCAAGGAAACCGTTTATGTTTTCATCTCCTCATAATGCCCATTTCTTAATCATTTTTTATAGAGTGGGTACACATTATTAAGGGTTTTTCCCGGAGACCCTGGGCATCAATTGTGGGAGGTGAAGACTACAGCACTCTGTCTTCTTCTTCACTGGTTGTCTTGCTTCCTGGAGGTTTTTGCCCCTTCCTCTAGTAAAATACAATTATATGATTCTTTCTGTCTTTCTTCTTCTTGTCTTCATTCAGCTTAAGGCCTGAATTTACCTTTGCCATTACCTTGGTTATGTAGTTTGGAAAACAAGTTAAACACAGACAGACATTGAATGTGTGGAAGAAAATGGGAAATGGGTAGGAAAATGGCTTGTAATTGAATGACAATGGATTGAATGAGTAAATGTCTATGGCCAAAAAACACCAGGCCAGTATTTTGGGTGAAGAATTATTGAGGAAAGGGAAGCATTTGAATATGGTAGTGTGACCTAATACATTTCTTGGTCATCAAGTTGAAAAACTGACTTCCAATTCACTTTAGTACTTGCAGATTCTTCATCCATCCTTGTGTTTGGAGTCTGATTCCTTATCTCAACAAGTCTATAATATCTTGTAAGTAAGTTTGGTATTCTTGAAGCAACAGACGTGTCTCAATGGGGCCTGGCCGTATATTCTCCAGGACAATGAAGAGACAAGCCCTTCAGCTTGGATTGCCCAAAAGTCAGTGGTTGCCATGGTGTGGCTGACATCACAAAGCCTCAGCTTGACCATCTGGAAGGACAGGGTGGGAGAAAATGCCGAAGTCTCAGATGCTCTGGTTATAGAAAAGAGACCTTCCTCATACATCCGAAAATTTTTTCCAGGCTGACCTCTCTCTCTCCCACATCTCCTCAAGTTCAATTATAGTCCAGCATATGGCAGGGAGTTGCTGTTTCCTCTAAGCCACTTCCCATACTCCCCCATCTTTTTAATAGTCCATTCTACTATCTTCAAGATATTACCATTACCTAGTGTTTTGTGTGTTGTTTTTATGGATGATTTATTTTAGAATAGTTTCAGATTTACAAAAAAGTTGTGAAGATAATACCCATGTACCCCATACCCAATTTCCCTTATTACTAATGTCTTACTTTGGTATGGTGCAACTGGAACATGAAGTGAACCATCAGTGAAACTGTCAGAGTGAAATGTCAGTATTCTAGTATCTCCAATATCCAAAAACGTGTTTGTACACCAAGTTGTTCAAAGAGAAACTCTACCAGTTTTTTAATAATACCTCAGTTCCTGAGCTGACAATCCTTTCAA